TATATATATGCCATATCAATGATTATCTAATGATGTATGCAACATAATCCTTTGCTTTACGACCGTCATTAATTGAGCCATTGGTTACCAATTTACGAAGCCTATGCCATTGATATCGGAATCCATACTGTCTACAGCATTGTTCTGCAGTCTAGATAACTTACATCATTGGTATTATCTTGTGCGACAGGATTTCTATCGGCAAAGGCCATTATAGTCGGCAACAGACCCGCATACAGCGGTTGAAGGTCACCATCCAGTACTCGCCTATTCAAGATACACTGTGTCCTAATATCCCTATTAGTTGGGGTCGAATCACTTTCGATCCGTGCCGTATCCCCGTCGGCTTGTGTCGTAATTATAGCACTCATTGTCGTATCCCGTAGCGCTGGCAACCACAGAGCATCTCTGGGCACTTTCTGGAGGAGCCCACTGACGATAGTCAGCAGAATCAACTGCATTTCATCTGTTTCGCATAGTTGTGACGAACAAATCCCACCCGCAATTGAAGCGGGAAGCACAAGCTTTGGTGAAAGCAGAGAATCCGGGGTTATCTCTGCGAGGGTATTTAAATAGGGTAGTGGAGTGATAAGACAATACTTGTATTTTAGGGTGTTAATGTAATAAATGTAGGTAATTTATACTAATTTATCGGCATGTGTAAACATAAACAAGTAGAGACTTGTGAAATGGAAGCATAATGAACTATTTTCCCCCGCAGATGAACGTTCCAACCCGAAGATGCTAATCACAGATTTCAAACTCAGCCATTAATTGGGCAACGATACAGAACAAAATGCCTAGACATACCTTTTCCATACATAATGTAGTTTACAACATGTGCCAACTCGCTTGTATCGTGACAGATCACCCCCAAACAGACACTCATCAACTCCGCTACGCTTAGGTGGAACTGCACATCGGAGCTGTCACGAGAGTCCACCAGGAGCGCAAGACAGGCATTGGCCACCTGTGTGCACACCCTGATCCACTGCCTGTACTTTACTGCTTGGCTTTCGCTTGCGCGTACACTTTGTTCAGTATTCGTGGGCTGTGTATGGGATGGCGTGGGTGTGCTGTACAGGCTCTCATCCACCGCAGATATAAAGCGCATCATACTCTGGACCAAGGACTGCAAAAAAAGAAAGCACGCGCGATATAAAATCTGAGTAACAATTGCGATCGTTTCTACCGAGCAACTAAACGCAGCGACTGAGATAATAAAACTTCGTATTGATTAGCACAACCGATTCAAACGTATTATATACCAACTCAAAAATCATATGCGAAGCGACAGTCGAGCAGTCTCAGCTTCAGGTGCGACAGACAATGCATGTGAGCAGCTCTGTTGGGTTGCATTGTATGTCAGATCAACTGCAGAGAGGCCGTCGAGCACCATAAACGCAACAGTTCACATTCTACCAGAGTCCAATATACTTGACGTGAATACCTGACCCGAACCAACAACCGCACAACGAACAGAACCTACATCAACCTCACGGAGTCCCTACGCGTAACCACTTGTACACAACTGACAACCGTATGGAGAAACTGGCACAGAACAACCTAAGTATAAAAAACCGAAGCTCCACGTCGACAAAACATGTCCTCGGAGACTAGCGCGACATCACTTCAGAAAAGTATGACGCGAGTGCTTGTTCTGAAGTCGTTGGACATAGCCTATATATCATACGTCGTCATACGTAGCATAGACCAACTCGATAGCATGTACCAAGGGAGAACAAAGTTTTATGCCAAAGGCAGCGCAAAACACTCAATATCCAGCAAAATGATCTACCAATGACTACGCTCAACATCAGCATGCTAGAATAGAGCCAGAGTTCCGATTTTCGTTTAATACGCATCTCAGTATTGCTCAAATTTCAAACGCCATGAAACACGTGACGTGTTATATACTTCTCTGCGGTACGTTTCGACAATAACACGATATGGTGATCATAACTTAAAGTGGACGCACCTGCTTAGTGGCAGATTCTGGTTCGTTGATATCACGCATATCCGACGCCGTCTGCTGGTTAGAAATTTGGCTACACCATTGCGCGAGTTTCACACCAAAGCTCTCGACACTGTCATGGTGAATCAACTCTAAGCTGTCACGTGCGACACTGTCGTTTCTTGCCACAATCAAGGACAACAGACTGTCCCCCACTGGATAATACAGGGCAAAGAAAATGTGTGAGTGGTGTGAATGCGGTCTACGTGTAAAGCGTACTCTGAGCGGATTGCAACACTCACGTGCGAACGGTGTCTTTCTGCGGTACGACACCGCATAAATTATTTTCCCCACTGGATCTGACATGAAAATCTCCTGCAAGAGTGGATTTATTGATCTCAATTCGGATCGTGTTGAGATGATGAGGGTTTTGGAATGATTCGAACGGTCACATGTGACGTTGCCATATCATGCCACGATCATGGACTATAGACTTATTTTTGTCATATCGTTGGGATATTTAGAACGCGTGCCTAAGCGAAACAAATGAAATCCCATGACTTCAATATAAAACAAACTTGACGGCATACCAGATTGTACACCAACTGTGACAGCGAGGATTGAATATTCATATCTTAGTTCAACTCACTATACCATTGTTGTCAGACTGGCACAGCCAAGTCCAGATATTATACTTCCTGAGTGCATATGAACATATACGTAGGATTCCCAACCGCAGGACGATATATAGCTAGTCCAGTATGTACCAAGCAGCAAACTACGATACAAAATACGAAGTAGCCTGCTCGAAATGACATATCTACTAAGAATAAACTGGTGTGTGTTCCAAGAGAATAAAACCTTATACAACGAGCAACAATACAAATATCTTGCTCCTCACAGGAACATACCTGACGCACTACAACTCCGACTCCGCAGGGCTGCCAGACTTTTGTTCCCGATGCGTGCTGGTACACGGTTCTTCCTTTCCGTTGTATCGCCGCCGACGGCACAGGTGTAGTCATTCAGCCCATTGAGCACACCAAGAATACACAGATGAAGTGCAGAAGAAAGTGTGGCCAGGTGCATCTCCGTTAAGACATCGCATACACACAACCACCACTCCTCGCTTACAGACGCGTCGGTATCGGTACATTCCGTGGTACACTTCAGTCCGTTGGCTGCACTTGACAGATATATTGTAGCCCGTTTCAGCTCGTGCAGTTGTGACTTGAGCTCGACACCGTCCTTCAGAACTGTTCGAATATGCTCAATAGTCTGTGTTGCTATGGGGTCCTCGTATAGCTTGGCATTCCGTGCCGCTTCTGCGAGTGGTATATGTGTAACATTCTTCAGTAAACAGAACGAAAACACAATATAATTGTCAGACAAAACGCGCCAATAAAGTTAAAACTATCTAAATAGGGTTGTGCCAGCTAAATGAATATAAAAGAAACGAGTATATCTTTTAAATAATAGACTAGGTCTACACAAGGTAAAAATAATTAAAGAAGACACATACACATACAAACACAAATATATGACTACAAAAACAAGTATTTATGTACATATGTGCATACCAAGCTAGATATATATATACATATATATATATATATATATATATATGTGTGTGTGTGTGTGTGTGTGTGTGTGTGTGTGTGTGTGTGTGTGTGTGTGTGTGTGTGTGTGTGTGTGTGTGTGTGTGTGTGTGTGTGTGTGTGTGTGTGTGTGTGTG